TGTGTGGACACAGAAGTTAAGATGAGAGTTGAGTTTCATTCTTAATAGAAGTCATTCCAGAACCTAGGTGTTTTTTCTTCTGTTTTTTTTTTTGGGGGTTGGGACAATTAGAACTTTCTCTAGCACAGCCTGGTCTTTCTGAATGATAGTTTAAATATTGAAGAGTGCAAGGGAAAGTTGCCCCGTAGATAATTTAAAACTAGAACAGTCTATTTGTAGGTCAGAGGATATATTTTTGGGAAATGCTATTTTGGCACTGCCAGATGGATAACATGCCATTCAATTTAAAAATGGGTTAGTAGGGATATGCAACGCATTGCAATTTAAAAATATATATTATGCTTTACAAATCACGTGCTACACAATTGGACCTTTGTAAAGAGGAGAAGATGACGCAGCGCTGGGCATGAGATGTAGCCTTATTAGCTCTCATGTGGGTTCTTTGGGAGATGAATATGAGAGCTTTGGAAGTAGAGGAATATAATTTTGTATATATGTGGAATAACCTCCAAAATTTTATTAGTTTTGGTGCATCCATGAGTGTTCCTGTTTAATATGGATCATTGTTTTTTCCCATAGAGAACCACATTTTTGTGTAGGTTCTATACTCGTTTTATACTGCTTGTATATGAGACTTTGTCCCAAATCAATAAGTTTGTTACTTCATCCCAAAAAAAATTATGTTGCACAAAATGTAAATGGTGAGATTTCAGAGTTTTCGCCAAGGCCGGATAAAGTCGCTAGAAAAGCTGTTCACAACCAACAATGAGGATATGCATAAGTTCCTTTTTGTTTGTTTTTCCCTTGGATATGATAAATCTATCCCCAAACCCTCTACCCAAAGGAGGCCATTTTCCACTTTGCTTTCTTGGTGTTGGAGGGGGGTCTTTTTCACTAAGCTATTCCTCCTTTCTTATGTGGATATGCATGGGTTCGCAACATGATGGCTAGTTTGTTGGCTAGATACAGCTGTTAGTTGTTGGCTTTTTAAATTGGTAACCTTCCGCAACTACC